CTCCTGGAGTTTAAAAACTTCGATATCTATACCCTGTTTTTGGAGAAGAAAATACACAAGTGGAAGGGAATAATTTGGTCCGTTCAGCAATTTGTACAGCTTTTGGCGTGATCCTCACCTTCCATATGCAAATTTTTTCCTCCTGGAGTAAGGAATTGAGTGGGATTTCTGAAGACAAAAGAATCCCAGTCCTCCCTAATTAGGATGAGAGAACCTGTCTCTCATTTGAAGTTGGCCCCATATGGTGTACACAACATGTTTATACAATAACAGACCGCATTATTTGAAGAGCAAGCGCCTTTCATGCATGCTACATCCCAAAATGCCTTCTGTAGTAAAAAAAACAAAAAAAAAAAACAAAACACTTACAGAGTTAAAATATAAATAATTCAAAAGAAGAAAATAATAGGCCTAGGCAAGGGAGAATACAGACCTATACACTTTCAGGACCCTACATCTAATTGTCTATAAATAATTGTCTCGTACACATTACCCATAAGAGTGCACAGTCCCTGACAGAATTATAAAACTGGATGTCAGCCGTGGAGCTCAGCTGCTGTTTGTAAATGGTTGTAACTCTGCTCTTGATTTTTACTGTGCTTACTGTATATAGTTTTGTTTTATTGGTGCTGGACTAGAAGCGTATCCTACAATAAGCAAGTAAAAGGGTTTACAAGCATACAGTCCCCATCCTGCAATATTTATTCAGGCAAAAACCAGACCGACTCAGGATTTTTGCCTATGCATGAACTAAGAGTTGGGCCCAGCTTCATCAGCATCTCTGTTACCTGTGCGCATTTCAGCGGCTTTCATGCTTAAAGCATTGTTGTCTGCAATGAGGGAAAGCAGGGTTTAGGGCACGGTGCTATAGAGTGAGCTTCTGTGAATGACCTGCCGTCTTGAGGGTAAATACAGGACCCTTGCTCAGTTGTGTTACCTTCAAGCCCTGGGTTCAGTAGAGATCTCTGTGCGGCAGGCCTAGAGGAAGTGCAACATTCCCCACTGTCTGGCATCTGGCTAGAAAAAAGATGATTTCATAGATTTCTAGGGTCAGAAGGGACCTATTAAATCATTGAGTCCGACCCCCTGCTCTGGGCAGGAAAGAGCACTGGGGTTAAGTAACCCCAGCCAGGGGCTTGTCTAATCTCCTTTTAAATGCCTGCAAGGTAGGGGAAAGCACCATCTCCTTTGGAAGCCCATTCCAGATTTTGGCAACCCTCACCGTAAAGAATTTCTTCCTGATGATAAGCTGATCCGGCCTCATGTACGGAAACACCTCCCCTTCCACGCCATGAAACCACGGTCATGGAGCCGCCGATGAAGCTGCAGCAATGAAAGATGCAAAGGCTTTGGAGGCAGCATCGAACGGAGGGGACGGAGGTGCTGAAACCACATGTGTAAGGAAAGATTTTGGCAGGAGTCCTGAGTCCACTTCTGACAAATGATATAGTCTGACCAAGAGGAGGGCCTGCCAGGTGGGCCATAAAACATCTCAGTGCCTCTACTCCAGCTCTCATCCACGAGGAGGGTTTTGAATTTCCATTATCCCACATGAGGGAGATGTGGCTACAAATCTGGGCTCCGATCCAGGTTCCTCTTTGTGGACAGGTCTCCCTACACACCCTCAAATGTCTGCTTCATTTTTTTTTTTAAGCCTGTAGTACAAACAAGTAGCCTGGAGGCATATTTTCCTGCTACCTTTAAATGCATCAGCATAGAGCCATTAGCCCCCAAGATGCATTAGCACAGACGTCAGTGCAGGCTGCATGAGCCATTGGGGATGATTCCTACCTAGGCCGGTTGCTAGTCCATGCCATCCACTGCTTCCCTCCTGCTTGTTGCCTGTGTTAGCTAGGTGGCAACTGGCTTGGTTTGCCTGCTGATCTTACACCCTTGTCCGTAATCCTATACCCTTGCTCGTGTGCATTGTCCCATTAGCTTTACCTGGATGGTGCACGTAGGTAAGGGTAGGAGGAACCAACGTTCATAACTTGATTTTGTAAACCCTTCTGTATCTGAATTGTCCTATTGCCTTAAAGGGGATTTCTCTCGTGAGCAAACTTTGCAGAATTTGTTTAGTGATAGAAATGGTTTGCTCCTTGGAGCAAAGAGGGAGAAGTGGCATTTTTCTGTATCTGGATTGCATAGATCCTACCAGATCTGGGGGTCTTCTCTAAGCAGAACAAGAGATGATGCAGGATATGACTTCCCATTTAAAAAGAGACCTGATTTAGGAAAAATATCCCATCAAATAATGGGCATGTGTTATGTTGTGCTCTCTGAATCAGTGATTCATCCCCCTTGATTAAAACACCAGTAAATGCATTCATGCCTTTTTATTAACCTCCTGAAAAATATTCTGTAGCAATCAATGGTTGTCAGCTGGCATGGCACCCCTTGGTAAGGGCATCCCAATCAGCAAAAGGCACCTCAGCTGCTGAACTTCTTCAGTGAGACACCTTTGACCACAGCAGATGTTACTACTTTGGGCTTGATGAATGGGAACTTTATGATCAGTGTTTTCATTGTTTTCTGGGAGCGAATGTCAGCCTGGAAACACAACCTGACATCAGGACCATTAAGTGCTAATCTGAACAACAGCTTCAAGACTTGATCTCGTTGTCCTCTGGAGCACAAGGTCTAATGGGCTAATGCATTAGTCTTCCTAGTCACCTTCTTGCACCACAGACACAGCCTCTTAACAAGCTGGCAAAAAATGCCCCATTTTGGGAAATAATCTTACCAAATGCCTAACCTTCACGTCAAGCATGGCATTGTCGCTTGTCTGCTGTGTTGCGGAACATGCACATGGCATGGCAACTGAGGCTGGCAAAAGCATTTGAAAATGAACATCTTTATAATGACGCACTCCAAATCTGTATGCCACACACTTCTCCAAACATGGTAATTTGTAGTGAATTGAAGTGGGGGAGGGGGAATTTTCCTAAGCAGAGTAGTTTTCCCCATTAAATTTACTATTGTTCCATTTTTTTTTCTCCCAAAAGCATCATTGTCTAGTTCAGTTAACAAGAAAAAGCCAATTATGGGGTGAATGCTGATCTGTTAAATGTGGATTTAGCTGCCACTGTCCTAATGGGTCCTTGGGTGTTCTGCTTTCTATTAATAATTTTGTTTGACGTATTAAAAAATAAAATAACTGCAGTGAACATTTTGTCAACATGGACGAACTTCAAAAAGTAGTACAGAGCAGTAGGAACCCAAAACAGACAGGGGAAAGCAAAAGTTAGAGGCAAGTGCAAGTGAAGATGTTCTACTTTCCTTTTCTAAAACTCAAATGCACGCTGCTCATGTGACTGATTTAGTATTGAACAAGAAGGGGAAAATTGCCTCTTGGCATTTAAATGGAAATGTTTCTTGTTCAAAAATTTTGGAAGCTTGCACACTGTATGATTTTTGAAAAGCTTATACAATTACCATTGAATTTGGATGAGGTATCTTCTAGAAGATGCATACATTTCCCAATTAATATCTGCCCTTCTAAAGACCCATTCCTGGTTTGGAATGTATTCCAGAATCGATAACGTCAATGCAAATATAGTTCATTTTTAATATATACAATTTAAAAAGCATGAATAACAGCAGCTCTTTTGCATAATAGATTTTTGCATTGAGAATTCTGCCGCCTGTGATGATCCTCTGATTTACTGTGTGCCCTTTCACTCTGATTTCTGGTTTGGATTAAAATATAATGGTACCTGCTTGCTCTTATCAGAGGATGGAAAGAGTAGGATGAGAGCTAGAATGAAAAAAGCAGGAGACTGCAGGTTTATTATTCTGTAGTTTAAAGGTATGCTGAAGCATTGCATTATGTATCAGTCTTACTGGCAGTCCTTTTTTACAGCGTGGTTTTGGGGCCCAACTTTGCAGTTGTCCTGTGCGTGAAACTTTCCCAGAATTCAGCTTTTATTTTGCATCACGTCCTTCGTGTCAACAGCTTTGGGTGCTGTAAACGTACTCCGGTGTGTGTGAATACACTAGGAGTTACAATCCCTGCCATGGACCCTGTAGCTAGCAGGGACTCGGATGAAACAGGTCAGGTTTGTATCACATAGTGCATGATGCTTCTCCCCTGAGACCTTTTGGAAACCATGGATACATCGTTACTGAGAGGTTTCATAGGCGAGAATTTTGAGATGAGACTTTAACAAGGTGAGGAGAGGAAATTGCAAGTACAAGGCATCTGGGGTTTTGGCCAGAATACAGTTTAGCTAAGGACAGGGATCTAGTCAACAAGATGTGCTTTTATAAAGGCAGCTTCTCCCTAGCCTTTGGGCGTGCTGATGGGTGTCTCACCAGTAGTGAATCCAATTGTGTATGTGTGGGTGTGTGTGTGGGGGGGGGGTCTCAAGTGACTTGCCCAAGATCACACGTGCACTCAGTGTCAGGGCCTGCAACTCCAAGCAGTTCCTTAATCCCAGATTGCCCTTCTCCTTTGCAAATCTGAGCTGGCAAAGTGTTGATTTCCCAGCCCCTAAACACGTTCAGGAGGATAATTAAAACCACCAGCCTGGCAGCATTAGCCTGTCCCCTCATTCAGAAATCATCTTAGAAGCTCTGGGTCTAAAAAATAGGGCATGTTTCCCCCTCCCTCTGGTTATGTGTGTTTAAAAAAAAAAAGAAAATCTATATGCCTGGCATTAGAGACATGATTTTAAAAAAAAACTAACAACAAACCCCCCAGGCTCCTGCCAATGCTGCTATTTGGTGATCTTGGAGCGAGGGACATGAAAGTCCAGACACAGGGCAAAGAGTGTAACTAGTGGCTGGGAAGGCAGAGCCTGGCATTGCGTGTGTGGAGGCTGCAGCAGTTTGAAGGGAGCCCAGCCCCAAAGGTGGAATCCGGCCCGGATCCTAGCGGGAGGGGAAAAGGGGGCCGTGCTGGGGATGGAGATGGAGCTGCGAAGCATCACCTGAGCAGAGCCTGCCTCCCCCCTGCTCCTGAGTGGTGCAGACCAGCTTTGAATGCATGTGTGCTTGTCATTCCCAGGCATTGTAGGATTGGTTCCTGCCTCCCATTCATGTAACCTGTGTGTGTCTCTCTTTCTCTCTGTGTATGTGTGTAACCGAGGGAGAGAGAGGCAAGGAGAGGAGGGGAGGGGGGTGGAAGCTTTAAATAAAGCCTTTGGATTGCAGCTGCTTGTACTGGGCAGCCTTACCAGGGACACTTTCTGCCAGGGAAGAAGCTGGACCAGTCTGTGTGGTGGTGGCGGTGGTGGTGGTGGTGGTATTGTTCCTCTGCCTCTTTTTAGGATGAGCTCCTGTGCCTGGCTGTAGTTGCCCACTTTGGGATCCTGCTGAGGAGCTGTACCTATAAGTGGCTTTGCACTGGGGAAGCCTGCAGACATGGTAAGCTTGTCTTTTTTGGTTTGTTTTTTTTGCCGTGGAAAATAATAATAATAAAAGAAGGGCATTTTGTATTTCTTCCTCCAGCTTTTTTCCTCTTCCCTCCCCCCCACAGTCTTTTCACAGCTCTCTCGAGCTGTGTGGATTTTTTCCCACCTCTCCGACACCCTTTTCTGCAGCGAGGCACTTTTTCACCTCCCTCCCTCCTTGCCTTTCCCTGCCCTGATCCCCCGCTCCTGGGGCAGGGAGCAGGAGCCCCTCAGCCCCCTGCATGGCTCTGCTTTCCCAGCCTCTGGCAGACACATTCCAGGCTGCTGCTGCTCCTCCAGCTCCTTCCTTGGGCACAGTTGTGCAGCTGTATACAGTTCCTGGAGCTCATGGCTCAGTGGCGGGGAGATGCTGGCTGGATTATTGCTGGGGACAAGCTGCCTGAAGCCTGGACAATTTAGGTGTGTGCTGGGTGTGTTTGGGAGGGTTACCTCTTCCCCCCCCCATGCATCTGGATCAGTGTCTAGATCAGGTCCCTCCAGCAAGACTGGGGAAGGAGGATGGAGACTGGGAGAGGGCTGTAGCTGAGATGGGCTCCTGGAGCAATCAATCCCTGTTATCGTTTATTAAGGTGGAATAGCTGCAAAAAAGGGAAGAAAAAAAAGAGCCCCGTTGTTTCCCATTTGCACAGACCACCTTTCAATTTTTGTGCCCCTCTCTTCATCCTTTAGGTCCTACATGCCCTGGTAGTGCGTGTGTGTGCGCGTGCACAGTGTGTGTGCGGGGGAGGAGGGGGTTGCACACATTTGGACCGGTGCTGGAGTTGAGGTTGTGTAAGAGGTCCCACATTTTGAGAAGGGTGGATTCCCTCCAACCCTTTATTTTAAAAATCCATCTGCTAGACTACAACTTGCCTAAGAAAAGGATTTGTCTCCCATTTCACATGCCTGCTATCTGCCTTGCTTCCCTTCTCCCCCCTTCCCCCCCCCCCCCAAAAAAAAAAAAAAAAAAGTAGTTTGGCACTTTGGAAGGGTTTTTAATACAAAATACCTGATGAAATATGTCACGTTTTAGATTTGTGTTAGATTCAGATGTCTTTACAAAGTGTGGTTTTATTACAGAACAGGAGCACGCAGACTCCTGCTTAACCACGCACTTATCTGTATTCTCAACATTATTTAGTTTGTTTTAAAAAATGAATTCATGGACTAAAATGGCTGGGAGACTGAACTTTGGAAGTGGCCACTGTTAACACAAATGCAGTACTTTTTGTTTGAAAGAAATGTTGCCAGTGTTACATCAGGAGATGTTTATTTACGCTCTAATGCCATACTATAATGGGTTGAAAGTCATTATAGTTTCAACCACGTAAACAAATAGTATGTAGTTTGAAAATGATTGGGAAATATGCATTTATGCAATAGTCTTTCCAGTCTATTGGCTGGATTATGCACATTTTCAAAATATTTTATTCATACATTCAAAGCAGGTCTGCCTAAATATTTATTTACTTGATGGACAAGTTTTTTGTTGGGTTTTTTTTCTGTTTCTTCAGCATGTATTTACTTATGACCTTCCAGGAAAGTTTTATTATTATTTGCAAGAGAATCCCAACCTCTCCCCACCTCCCAAAAAATCACCCCCTCCCTCCCCCCCCCATCATTTTAGGTTTTTATTTTGCATCCCTGCATTAAGCTTTCATAACCCAAAATGAGACTTTAAAGTTGCAGTTGACTCTTTCCTTTCCACATAAACTTGTGCTTCAGCATTGCAAGTCATTGCATGTTGCTGTGCTATGGACACAGAAGTTGTGGGGGAGGAATGATGGCACTAAACAACCCGAATCTAATATATTTCTGTCTGTCTGACCCCAGTAAAATGGCTTGCTTCTGGGGCGGCCCCTCCTCTCCCATGAAAAGTGTCGTTCCACCAATGTGTGCGCCATGTGTGCTTGCCATAGCCAGGATCTGCTATGTATGCCTGGACAGCACCACAACCCTATGTACCAGCCGTGCCCGGACGCATGTGCCCACATTGGCCCCAGGAACAACAAGTCAAGGGCGGTAGTCCGCTCTAGCAAACTGAGCTTCCTTGGGAGTGGAGAGCTTTGTGGGAGGATGGCACCGAGTCAGTAATTTGTATTTAATTTATTTCATTGGCCTTTGAAGAGCCAGACACCTCCTACTTGGTGTCTCGGTCTGTAGCACTTGCATAGGCTCAGATGAAGAAACCGGAGTGGTGTGCATGTTTGTATGTACAGCAGAGGGAGAATAAAAATCCCTCTGCCCCTTACTATGCTTGGCAAAGACGAGGACTGAGAGTGGCAGGGCTGGGCGTGCACACTCTTATTTTTATTTTAATATTGGGGGGGGGGGATTGTGCTTGTGACAAGAAGGCGCTGGCGTTTTATAGCTGCCTGCCTGTTGTGAGTCTCCTTCCCCTCTTATTCCTAGATGCTAGCCTCTTCCATTCTGCTGGATAAATCCTCCCAGGCTGAGACTGTTCGGGGCCATTAGGATTTCCTGCTGCCATGATCCTTCCCCGAGCGGTTCAGAAGCAAATGCTTGTGCAGGGGGATAATCAGTGCTTGTGCCCAGCAGATTTGGAGGGCGTGTGAGGTGCTTGTGTGTGTGTGGGTGGGTGTGTGCGCGCGCGCGTGTGCATTGGGGGGGTCATTTACTCTGAGAGCTTAGACATGCTTGGTGTTTTTGCTTGCTTCAGGGGTTGGGTCCTCTGCTTTTGCACACCGGATTTCCTTGCGACAGAGGCAAGGAGGGGTCTCTCTGTGTGCAGAGCTGGGGTGAAGGATGTTTGCAAGCAACCTGTTTCCTGCAACCTGTCCCCAAAAGCCACTGCGATGGAGAGCTCCTGCCGTAGCGTACATAGCAGGCAAGCATGTGTCCTGTTCCTCCAGCAGCTGCTGAGATCAGCTTCTGTTGCTCTCTCGCTTTCCCCGTGAGTGTGTGCGCGCGTGTCTTTGAAGGGGGAAGGAGCCGGCGTGTTCACATCTTGTGCAATTTACTGGAGAGATCGTGGTCTGCGCATTGGAGGGGAAAACATGTTTTGGATTGGGGGGGCTTTCTCAGACTTTCTTCCTTTGGGGAGCGTGGCGGGGAAAGAGGAGCAGGTCTGTTCTTTGGAAAGAGTTACCTTCTAGTTGTCTTTTCGGTTTAAAGGGGGCTGGGGTAGGCAAAGCTAACTACCTCTGTTTTTAAGTGGGAGGGAGATAGGGAGGGATACTGGGGAAAGGGAATGGGAGGGAGGCGGAAGAAAGAATCTGATTTTGATCTTCTCTGGTGGTTTTGCTAAGCTGGTGGCAAAGGGAAGACTGCCCTCTGTGTTTCTGCAGGTATGGGGTGCACTTGTATTCTGTTTTTTCTTGAAACAGCCCTCACAATGATTTGACTTGCCTAGCTTAACTGCAGTACTTCCATCTATTTTGTGGTCAGGCAGTAGCGTGAGAGTTTTCTCTTCTTTCATTTCAGGGGGTCTATTGTTATTTGTCTTTTTCTTCTTGTTTTCTTGGTTTGTTTACCTGGAGTGCATGCCAACCCAAATGCCGTTTCATCCTATTTACAGTGTATCCAGTGTCTCAGTTAAATGAGTCTGTCCTCCTTATTTTTTTTTTTAAATCTGGTATTACACCATTTCTCTTCCCAGGAAAACATAACCAAGCACTGAATGTGATTCCACTTTAAATAGCCAACACACTTAAAGAAAACTATCCTCCTTTTCCCTGGGAAAGTCATTTCCAGTTCTGTTAGGATTTCGGCATCGTTAGTTCATTTTTTGACAGAATCGCATCCTTGTAGATGGAGTGCAACCATGATGTTATGTAACTTGATATTTCTAGATCAAAAGTTACAAACATTGCAGTAATAGAGCAATGTGGCAAGATGAATGTCATGTGACAAAAGTGATTTCTGATTAGGACTTCAGGTCACTGGGAGTTTTCACATTCAGTGCCAACATAATAGTTGAATAAAGAGCAAGCCTTCTCTTTTCTTCATTACCAGAACCTTTTCTCTTTGCCTTACTGCTTTAGGTACTTAAGGCTCTAAACAAGCCCGCTATGCGCACTTAGAAAAAAGCCAACATAATATTGAAAAGTGAAACAATTTGAAATTGCCTCTCCCAGACTTGATTTAGAGAGATGAAACTGTGCATCAACGTCGCTTCAGATTTAAAGACTGGTGGTTACCTGCCCGGCTACAAGGTCTATCAGTCTAGCTCATTGTAACTAAACGTTAAAATATTCTATTTCTGCTTTGAACTGACAGGCTGGCATTTCTGGGCACCTTGACAGAATAACATGAATTACTTGCCAGTGAATTGGGTATTCATGGATCTCCGACCAATATGTTTTCACAGGCAAAGCTTGTAATGAAATGTTTTTTGTTTTTTTTTTTAAATATATGTATATATTTCCACTTTCACATTGATTAAAAATATATATCCCTGAAATCTGATTGTTACCTGAGCTGCTTTGCTGGGAAGGTGTGGTCTGATGAACTGGTATATTACTTGCATTTCCAACCTGGCAAAAGGGTATAATTTGGATTCTTCTGTGCCATGCTACTGTCACTGTGCTGATAGTCAAATTATTTTCCTAGAAGTATGCTTCTTTGCCAGCTCTCTTGAATCACTCTTTCCAGTGCATCTTTTTTAAGCCAGCGGTAGGGTTGAAATATGCAGAGTAGGGCAAGCTTGCCTGTGTGGAGTGACAAGCCTGTCTTGCAGAAAGTTGACATTCTTTGGGAAGTTTGATCCTTTTGCACATAAAACCTTATGCCTAGCACATAGACTAGTGGTGAATGAAGCTGTTTGTTCTGTAGAGATAGTTAAACACCAGCCTGTATTGCCCTGTTGAGCATTCACAAAAACTTTGGCAGAACGCTTTTGTTTTTAATGCAAAGATTATCTTAAGAAAGGGCTGTAGCCGCTGACACGTGTTCATGCAGGAGCACAGAGGTCCATTGGAGGGTGGCAGAAAGTATTGGCAATTTGGAGAAAAA